TCTCTCTCTCTCTCTCTCTCTCTCTCTCTCTCTCTCTCTCTCTCTCTGTATTGTGTATGAAGATCAGAGGACAATCTTTGGGAGTTCATTTTCATTCTCCACCTTGTTGAGCCCCATGAGTTTCTGGGTGAGTCTCTCTCCAGCCATCACCTTGCCATATGGGTTAGCTGGGATTGCCTTCAGGTTTTTAGCTATAGGGATTAAACTCAGATCGTCAGGCTTGTGTGGCAAGAACTGTGATTTCAGAACCATCTCATTGCTCTTTTTCCTCCTGTAGACTTCTTCCTCCAATTTCCTAGTTCTGTTTCTACTGTACAGTACCTTTGCATATTCCTTGTTCTTTTTTCCAGATAATTGGCCCACTGGTCCATGTAATATGAATGCATGAATGCCCAAGTCGATGTTGCCCAGTGACCTGAAAAGTGAATATTGGCTGTCATTATCTGTGGGTTCTGTACCTCTGGATTCAACTGAGGACTGAAGGTGTTTTCTAAAGAATTGTCCTCACTAGGACAGGAGAGATGGTCCAGTGGTTAAAAGCACTGGTTATTCTCCTGGAGGACCTGTTTCTATTCCCAGAACTCACATGGTGCCTTCAAACTGTAACTCCAGTTCCAGGGGATCCGAAGCTGTCTTCTGGCCTCCATTGGCACCAGGCATGCATGTTCTGTACAGAAATACCCACAAATAAAATAAAATAAATAAATAATAAATAAATCTTTATTTTAAAAAAGATTGTCTGTGCTATAGGAAAAACTTCTTTGTTAGTATCTCTTAAGTATTTTCTTAAGAGGCCAAACCACTCGGCAAATAATTCCAATCAAACCAAATTAAACCAAATTAAAATATGCCCATGTTTAATGGAGTGCTTCCAGGTGGCCCCAGGAAAACATGGAGAGGGGAAGACCATGCGGAATCCAGAGACCACATGTTCACTTTCTGGGGGGGGCAGTTTAAATAGCCTGTGAGAGTGGTCCTGACCTTCCCTGGGAAGGGGTTACTTGTTGGCAGGCTTTCTCAGAGGTGGAGTTTGGATTGAGGCAACTCCCAGGGGAGGGAGCTTATGCCAGGAGCTGGGGTGAAGACCCTAGGCAAACAGTGTCCTCTGAGAAATACCTGTAAAAACTTTGTGTACTAATGACATTGCATTGGGTGTGAAAGATAATCTAGAGATGACTTGAATCACATGGGAGGAGCAGTGTAGGCTATATGTAAACATTATGCCATTTTACATACGAATCTGAAGCATTGGTAGATTCTGGTATCTGGGGGGATTTCTGGAATTCATTCGCTACCAAATGATTGAGAGGAGTTGCTTGTTAAGAGAAATTCACGTGTGTCCGTTAAGGGGTATCAATGATTTATTAAGATATAAAAGGGGAAAATACACTTATGAATACAGAATATGGTAAATCCAGTTGCAGAATCCTTGGAAAGCTGGGGATTGATCACATGCTGCTTCACGCCACCAGACTCAGTCTTCACCCAAGAGAGCGTGACTCACTCTCTCCCTTCCTTTCACAAAGGTAGACAGGACACAGCCTCTCTTGGGCCAGACAGCCAAGGTCATGGGCGGAGAATATCCACTACAGTTGATTTACCTGCTTGTCAGTAAGTAAAGTGCTGTGCAGAGCACTGGATCACTACAGCGTGTTTGTAGTTAACCCATAGTGGAGGCACCAGTGAAGTAGGGTCAGCCAGGAACCCACAATGTTCTGGGATCAGTTGTGGAGGAAGTACTCCCAGATGCCAGAGGCTCCTGGTAGAAGGTTCCTATTCATGAGGGAACCATAGGATTTTTTTTTTGTCAGAGTGCCCAATCAGGTTGATGCAGCTTGGGGAATTTTGGATCACCTAACTCTGAAGCATTTGGGAGCCAAGGTGCAAAGTCACTTAGCTTGTTATCTCTTGAAAAGGCTGGGCAGGAAATACTTTGTACTCTAGGTTGATCTCTGTCATTGCCCTCCCCTAAAGTTTTTTTTCCCCTAACAGGCAGAAAGACTGCCAAAGGAGTTGCAGGGCCTGCCCCAGAGGTGCTAATACCTCCTATCTGTTTCCTGAGCTCTTATCGGGAACCGCTGTTCACACAAATCAAGTTGTGAGAACATTTGCCAGAAGTTTCCTTGGATCAGTCTTAAATAGCATGCTTAGCAGTGGTCATCCCAATGCTTGTGGCCTAGAGACACTCCGAAGCCCTGGTCCACTCTCTCCCTGAGGCTGAGCCTCTGATCTTTTAGATATAAGGCTGCCTCATGGTAGGGCCTTGAGGGTTGTATATTTTCTCTGGTCATTTGTCAGAGGGAAAAAGTTGAAGCCTGACCTCAGAGTATCCTATGGGAGGCTCTGAACCAAGTCTAGGCAGCTACTTACCAAAGACATCCTGGTGTTGTGTCCAGAAGAGAGGGAGACTCTTCCATGAAGTTATTTGCCTTCTACTTCTCTAAAATAATTTTTTGAGAATTTAAAATAGTTTTTGAAAAAGAATTTTATACATGAGTATTGCATTTGTATAAATTCCACTCCTCTCTTTCCCACATCCAACTAGTCTAATATCCCTCTCCACCCTCCCTCTCTCTCACCCCTACTCAAGTTCATGACCTCTTTAGGGTTGCACACATACTTGGAATTGGATAATTGATCAGTGAAGACCCTGGAGAAGACTGGTTTTCCATCTCTCAGTAGCCATTGATAACCTGTAGCTTTTTTATCTAGAAGCAGGGCCTTGTGATATTTCCCCTATTTGTCTCCTTATTGGTTTATTTACTTATTTTTGTTTGGGGGGTAGTGTTTCTCTGTGTGACAGCCTTTGCTGCCCTGGAACTAGCTGTGTAAACAAGGCTGACATCGCACTCACAGAGATCCACCTGCCTCTGCCTCCTGAGTGCTGGATTAGATGAGTGCACCACCATCACCTGGCCATGTCCCCTATTTGAATTGGCATGTCAACTCTGTTGTCATTATACAGGCCTTGCTTATGAAGGCATATCTTGAGGCAACTATGACTATTGCTTAGGTTCCCCCATTATGTGGTTCTTTCTTCCTCTCTTCTCTCTCTTTCTTTATTCTGTCAGGGTCTTTCTATTTAATGCAAGCTGGCCTCAAACTTGTGATCCTTGGCCTTGGTCTATCAAATGCTGAGAGTACAGGCATGCATCCCTGTGCCTGGTTCTGCTTCTTTTGATATTAACTACCTCCTTGCCATGCCCATAGACCCTATTATGGGGATGTCTTTGGATCTTGCCAGGCAAGCTTTTTGGATTGGTTTAGACCACATCTGCCTTGTTTATCATGAGCAGGACATCTTCCTGTTAGAGCAAACATTCCTTTGTGATTTCCAGGAAGGCATAGAACTAAGAAAATGCTAATAAGAGGGGTACAAAAAGAAGTAGGGTACTTTTTTGGGGAGATTTCCTGAAGTTAATTCCATTATATGTGCAGGCACTGAAAAGTAAGAGACCAATATTGAGCAGAATGGGTTAGAATTAAGATGTTTAAACTGGGAACAAACAGTGTGACTCTTAGGAGGAATTTAGTCTACCTTAACCTCAGTTGTCTCACCTGAAGGACAAAGCTAAGAATAAAGAATCAAAGTGAAGCCAAGCTGTCTGGCCAGATAACTGTCTGGTAGGATTTCACTTTTCTTAAATCTGGGCAACACTGGCAAACCAGTGTTGATGAATTCACTTAGCCATTCATCGTTGCTGCATACATTCATTAATACATGAGCTCTTTCACTGCACAAACATCTACTGAAATCATATTCCATAAAACCAACAATGCAACATAGCATGAGGAATAAGATGAAAGCTTCTGGGGCTAAAGACATGGCTCAGTTAACAGCATGCCCCACTCTTGCAGAGGACCTGAGTTCAGTTCCCAGCACCTTTTCTGAGTGGTTCATAACTGCCTGCAACTCCAGCTCAAAGGTCACTCAATGCTTTTAGTCTCCCAGGGCATCGCATATAAACACACACTCCTAAAAATAATAAAAAGACTTCTAAAAAGCACATTAAAAGAATAGAATTTTTTGTCCTTCAGAATTTCCTTTTATTTTTTATTTTATTTTTAATGCTTCACAAATTTGCGTGTCATCCTGGCACAGGGGCCATGCTAATCTTCTCTGTATCACCCCAGCTCCAGTATATGTGCTGCCAAAGTGCGCACCAAAATTCCATTTTAAATGGAGAAGAGAAAGACAACCTAAGAAGAAGCTGTCATGGGGTGTGACACACAGTAAGAAAGGCACCAAGTGTAACAGGAGTTCAGAAAAGGAGACCTTGGCTCCAGAGGGGGTTTTGGGGTGGGTGGGGGAGGGGGGACTCATTAGGGGTGAACTAGTTGAACTGAGTTATAAAGAACTAGAGTTTAGATAGGCAGATGTGGGTAAACAGCCTGCAGGCTGTTAAAAGGGTGAGCAAGAGACCTGGAGGTGGGGATGGACGACCTGTGTCTGGGAAACTACAAACCATCTAAACAAAAGATAGCAACCGGGAAGTGGGAAGTGCTGCGGTTGCGGGAGTATCTTCGGCTGCTTCAGTCAATAGTCGCTGAAGCACGAGCCCACGGTGCTGCGGGAGGGCCTTCCGCTCTGTCAGCCAATAGCCGCTGAAATACCAGCCCACTGGGGCGTGGTATATTTCTCTTTTAAAGAGAGCCACAAGTCTCGGCTCGGGCCTCTTGGTTCCTGTGCTTGGTGCTCCGGCTCCAGCGACTAGGCTCCCTTCCTGATGGTTTATGGTGTATGTAAGTTTTACCCCCTTTGAGTGGAAGAATAACGAGACATAGCCACAGTCCCAGAGACAGTAGATGAATATCTGAACCCGAGGGGTGGGAACAAGAGAGACTAGGAAACTGGTGAGGAACTAGGACTATGGGGGTGAAGGGAAGTGGTGAGGCAAGGACACTGGGGCAGATGACTCCCCTGATGGATGTTCTGAAGGCTGAATGGCTACCCTACTTTTTGAGCAGCACTTGTTTCCACATCCGGCCATCTGTCCAGAGCAAGTCAGGTTGACTAAACGGTACCCCAGCGAAGTATGGTGACCTACCCAAACCCTCAAGTCCAGTTTCACTTTCTGCAATTTCAGTTACCCATGACAACTAGGCTCCTAAAATATTAAACGGAAGATTTCAAAAATAAAGAATTGGAAAGTTTTAAATTGTGTATTGTTACACTTTAGGTCACCATTGTGTGTTGAAACACATGACCAAAGCAGCTTGGGGAGGAGAGGGCTTGTTTAGCATAGACTTCCACATCACTGCTCATCCTCAGAGGGAGTCAGGACAAGAATTCAAACATGGCAGGAACCTGGAGGCAGGAGTTGGTGCAGAGATCATGTAGGAATGCTGGTCACTGGCTTACCCCTCATGGCTTTCTTAGCTTGCTGTTTGTAGAACACAGGACCACCATCCTAAGGGTGGCCCTACCCACAGTGGCCTGAGCCCTCCCACATCAATCACTTGTTAAGAAAATGCCCTGCAGGCTTACCTACCGCCCAGTCTTATATAGGCATTTTTTCAATTGAAGTTCCCTCCTCTTAAAGGACTTTCACTTGTGTCAAGTTGACATAAAACTTTCCTGCACATGTACCATATGAGTAATGTGATAAAATCTCTGCTGTGCTCTGTCCTGTTTGGGACAGGTACCATTCCATTTGTCCAGGAAATCCACACTATATGACCAATCATCCCTTTATACCTAGTAGCCACCTCAGGTATCAGATCGCAATGCTGGATCGTGACGTGATGTCACAGTGTCTACACCACTCGTCTCACCTGGTGGCAGTGTAGAATCTCACATCATCACAAGAAGAAGGGTGGTGCACACTGGTAATTCTGTCATTTGAGTGGCTGAGGCCGTAGATTGTGAATACCAGGCTGGAATACACAGCTAAGGGCCATTTGAAGGAACATGTAGAAACCTACTATAGTAAAAGCTTCTTTGATGTAGGAGGGTCATCTGTCTATGTGTTACTTTCATTGGTTAATAAAGAAACTGCCTTGGCTTTTGATAGGACAGCAGCCTAGATAGGCGGAGTAGACAGAACAAAATGCTGGGAGAAAGAAGCAGAGTCAGGCAGAGACTGAGAGCCGCCCGTCATGAAGCTGCCAGGTCAGACATGCTGAATCTTTCCTGGTAAGCCACGACCTCGTGGTGCTACACAGATTATTAGAAATGGGTTGAGTCAAGATGTGAGAGTTAGCCAATAAGAGGCTAGAACTAATGGGCCAGGCAGTGTTTAAAAGAATACAGTTTCTGTGTAATTATTTCAGGGGTAAGCTAGTCAGGATGTGGGCAGGAACACAGCCCGCTGTTCCTTCAACACTTCTTAAAATCTATACATATATAAAAGAAATCTTAAAGGAGTCAATAATGGGGGAGACAAAACTGTGTTTATTTTTCTCGCACCAACAAATGAGACCTCAAGTGCTAGGAATGGGTTACATCTAATTGACTCTTTGGCCAAAGGAGCACCATGGAAATCCCTAAATAACTCAGGCTATTGATTTTTCTCTGTAAAGTGATGGTAAGTCCTGTTGCTGCAATAGGACAACTCATCGAACATGGAGAAGTTTAGCTGGTGTCTACCTAGGGCCTTCGCTCGTACTAACTGGTGTTCACACTACTGGAGGGTAATATGTGTGCTGGAAAAGGAGAAAGGTCCACACCAACCCAGCTAAAAACTCTTGTACTGACAATGACGTCCGGCTCACAGAATATGCTGGTGAAATAGTGGCAATAAAAGCTGTGGGAACAAATTACCATCTGGTTCATTTAAGGCCCACTCCAAGAGCTGAAATCCATGCCCGACACTGTTCTGGTGACCTGGGACTAGATACTCAGGGACCTGGGTGTCTTAGTTAAGGTTTCTATTGCTGTGAAAAGACACCGTGACCATGTCAACTCTTATAAGGAAAACATTTAATTGGGGTGACTTAATTACAATTTCAGAGGGTCAGTCCATTATCATCATGGTGGGAAGCATGCCACCTTGCAGTAGATGTGTCACTGGCTACATCCTGACTTTCAGGGGACAGGAAGTTGACTGAGACACTGGGAAGTATCCTGAGGATAGGAAACCTTAAGCCTGCCCCCACAGTGACACACTCCCTCCAACAAAGCCATACCCACTCCAGTAAAGTCACACCTCCTAATAGTGCCACTCCCTGTGAGATTATGAACGTCAATTACACTCAAACTACCACATTCTACTTCTTGGCCCCCATAAGCTTATAACAATATCATAATACAAAGTTTATTTAGTTCAACTTCAAAAGTCCCCATAGTCTATCACAGTCTCTACAATGTTTTAAAGTCCAAAGTTCAAAATCTCTTCTGAGATTCATGAAATCTCTTAACTGTAATCACCTGTACAAATCAAAATCAAGCATATCACATACTTTCCACATATAATGACACAGGATATAGTTTATCATTCCAAAATGAAGGGAAGGGAGCATAGCAAGGAAATGGAGAACCAAAGCAAGACTGAAAACCAACTGGGCAAACTCCAAACTCTGCATCTCCATGTCTGATGCCAAAACACATTATAACTCCAACTTGGCTCAACTTTGTTGACTGAAACACATTTCATTCTCTTGGTCTGGTTCCACTTCCTGTTAGCAGCTCTCCTCAGCAGGTACCCCATGACTCTGGCATCTCTGACATCCTTGGGTTCTGTAAGGCAATTCAGGCTTCAACTTCACAGCTTCATGAAATGGCCTCTCTGCTAGGACTCCATATTCAGGGACACCTCTGACACATGACTGTTCTCAACAGCTTTATTCCATAACTCTTTTCTTCTATCCTTAACTTTAAGGCCAGAACCACATGGTCAAACCTGACAAGTTCTGCAGGTTGCTAGGCCTGGAATATGGCCTACTCACTCAATTACATCTTTACCAATTTTCTGTCTTTTACTATTTGTTTGGCTATCCTGAAACTTGATCTGTAGTGTAAGCAGAGGCAGAGTTTTTCTTTTGTCCCAGCCATCCAGTCTCAAATAATCATAGAAATGCTTATGCTAATTAATGTAATTACAGAATTATAGTTATACTATCTAGTCTGTTTGTATTTGACAAAATTAGGTAAGATATTTAATTATTTATCTTATCTAGGTGAGTTTAACGTTTTATAACTAATTTATCTTTTATTACAACTAAGGAAAACTATAGCTATAATTATCTAGTCTTTAACTACATCAAAGACCTGAGGAAAACAATAATAATACCCGAGTGAGCAGGAAGTGCAGGCAAGTGACTTTCAAAAAGTGTGAGAAATGGCAGAAACAACTGTTAGGATGGGGATAGCCAAGAATTTATGTTTGAGGGGGCTGGAGAGATAGCTCAGTGCTTAAATATACTTACTGCGCTACTGTGGGACAACAGTCTTGTACCCTGTAAAGATTTGTCACTTGTATTAGTTTAATAAAACACTGATTAGTCAGTAGCCAGGCAGGAAGTATCGGCTGGGCCACCAGAGTATGAGAATGCTGGAAAGAAGAAAGGCTCAGTCTACAGTCATCACTCAGACCAAGAAGAAGCAAGATGAGAATACCTCGCTGATAAAAGGTACCAAGCCACACGACTAACACAGACAAGAATTATGGGCTAATTTAAGATGTAAGAATTAGATAATAAGAAGCCTGAACTAATATGCCAACCAGTTTATAATTAATGTAGGCCTCTGTGTGTTTCTTTGGGGCTGGGTGGGACAGAAACCTCTGTCAACCCTGCTCTTTCAGAGGACCCAAGCTTGGTTCCCAATACACACAAGATGACTCATAACCACTTTTAACTTCAGTTTCTTAGGTTCTCATGACCTCTTCTGGCTTCTTGGGTACTGTAAGCACAGGCAAAAGACTCATACACATAAACATGAAAAAAATAAACACAATTAAAATATGCATATGTCTATAGATGCTCAAGGCTGGGAATAGTAAGAACAAGGGGAGCGTGTGGTGTGGAATGAGGGTCTGGGTAGTAGAACACTCTGCCAGTGAAAGCAGTCTACCGGTTGTCTCCATACAGGTTCTCCAATTCTGCCTTGCAATTTCCCATACGACCTGCCATGTTTGCTTCTGTTGACTGCCTTCCTTCGGGTTGAAACCGTATCACACTGTGGGAAAGGACTGCGGAAGGATGTGCTGGTGACTCGGCAATGA